CTACCTTGAAATAGATTTTTAAATGATGAATAGAGGACAGGTTATTAAATAAAATATAACAAACCTGTATGTGTTATCATTTACTTATTAATCACACCTGCAAACTGGGAGTTAATTAAAATACTCTTTTTAACTTATTCTGAAGCTTTATCTAATTGTCAGAGTTTTCTCAGGGTTTGTGCAAGTCCTACTGAAAGACTTACCTTACAAACTTGCAACTTTTATAAATTGCCTTTGAAAAAAAATAATAACACATTAAGATTCATTCTGTTGCAACATTCCTCCCTCACCCCAGTCTATTTTTGTCATAGCATGTATCACCTTCTGATGTATTACTGTACGTGTCTCCCTCCTCTAGGATGTAATCTCCATAGAGGAAGATTTTTTTTTTAAGATTTTATTGATTTGACAGAGAGAGACACAGCGAGAGAGGGAACACAAGCAGGGGGAGCGGGAGAGGGAGAAGCAGGCTTCCCGCCGAGCAGGGCGCCTGATGCGGGACTTGATCCCAGGACCCTGGGATCATGACCTGAGCCAAATACAGACAGTTAATGACTGAGCCACCCAGGTGCCCTGAGGAAGATATTTTTAATTTATTTTGTTCACTGATATATCCCAAGTGCCTAGAAAATGTGCCTTGTATATAGTTGGAACACAATAAATATCTGCTGACTTAATCTTGTCTTGGCCTCTGCTCTGTATTTTTGTCTTTTTTTCACTTTCTCTTCCCATCTGTTTACCTCAGTCCTGTATTGGTGTCATTGTCTTAGGCATTCTCTATATGGTAGCTTCCAAAGCTCCAGGTTTAAATCATCTTTACAGCTATGAATTAGAGAGAAAATAGAGCCTCAACTTCCTAATAGTCCTAGGAAATTCTCATAATATATATCTTTATTAAGCTGCCTGGTTCATAGGCTCATTCCTGAGCCAATCATTTTGACGGGTTATGTGTAGGATGGAAAAATGGAATGCTTTGATTGTCTTGGGTGTTACTTGAATGTAGTAAAGGACAACTCATGGAAGTTCCTGGTTAATACCATTCTAGACAGGAAAAAGGACAAGTACAAAGCCATGAGTTGGGAATGAACTTGGCATGTTTGAAGAAAACCAAAGAAAAAGGGGCACCTGGGTGGCTCAGTCAGTTAAGCGTCTGACTCTTGGTTTTGGCTCAGGTCATGATCTCACAGTTGAGTGATTGAGCCCCACTTTGGACTCAGTGTTCAGCGGGGAGTCTGCTTGAAGATTCTCTCCCTCTGCCCTTCCCTCCACGCATGCATGCATGCTCTCTCTCTCTCTCTCTCTCTCTAAAATAAATAAATAAATCATTAAAAAAAAGGCAAAGAAAAAAAAAAGCCAGTGTGGCCACAATGAAGTGATTACAGATGATTAGGTCATAGAGATAATCAAGAATCATTTCATGAAGGATCTTAGGCAATGGTTAAGATATTGTCAATTATTCCTAGCACAATGAAAAATTCGTTAGAAGCTTTGGAGCAGGGTAGTGACATGACTTTCTTTGTATTCCCAATATATTGTCCAGGGAACAGGCAATAGCCAATAAAGGATAGATGGAGAAATGTAAGATGTCAGGGGAACTAGTTAGAAGCCTATTACAATGCTAGTTTAGTCAAGAGATGAGAGATTATGCAACCAGGATGGCAAAGGGGATGTTTGAGGGACTGAGGATGTATCAAACAAATGGGAATTGCTAATGAGCTGAATACGTGAGTGTGAGAGAAAGATAATTACTCTTATATTGTTGCCCTGAGAAAATGGGTGGATTTTTGTGGTAGTTGCTGAAATGGAGAACCTTGGAGATGGATGAAGTTGGAAAATCAAGAGGACAGTTTTGGACATGTCAAATTTGAGATGCCTATTTAAGATCCCAGTAAAATTGTTGGGTAAACAATTGGATGAGCTATTTTGGAGAGGTTTGGGTTGCAGATAAGAGTTTGGGAAACAAATGAGAGTGTATTTCAAGCCATGGAAATGAATAATTCAGGCTCTACTTCATGGTCTTTCCATGACACAGGCTAACAAAGGCCTCACCATCTTGAACATCTTGAAGCCATACCAGCTGTGGTACAAGGCCTCCTCAGTCCCTGTAGTAAAGGAAAAAAGAACCAGAGGGTCTCATACCTGGTCTTCTGGTCCTTAAGACAAGACTACTAGGGATTTACCCAAAAGATACAAAAATACTGATTCAAAGGGACACATGCACCCTGATGTTTACAACAGCATTATCAACAATAGCCAAATTATGGAAAGAGCCCAAATGCCCATCAACTGATAAATGGATAAAGAAGAAGTGGTATGCATATACAATGGAATATTATTCAGCCATAAAAAAAATGAAATCTTCCATTTGCAATGACTTGGATGGAGCTAGGGAGTATAATGCTCAGGCAGTAAAAGACAATACCATATGATTTCACTCTTATGTGGCATTTAAGAAACAAAACAAATGAGCAAAGGAAAAAAAAAAGAAACAGAGACAAACCAAGAAACAGACTCTTAACTATAGAGAACACACTGATGGTTATATGTAAGTGATGCATCACTAAATTCTACTCCTGAAACCAATAGTACACTGTATGTTAACTAACTAGAATTTAAATAAAAACCATCAGTGTGTTCTCTGTAGTTAAGAGTCTGTTTCTTGGTTTCTCTCTCTCTCTTTTCTTTGCTCATTTGTTTCTTAAATTCTTGTTTCTTAAATTGGACCAACTGTTCGAGAGGGTTCCTTTTTCTCCACATCCTCACCAACACTTGTTTCTTGTGTTTTTAATTTCCACCATTCCGACAGGTGTGACGTAATATCTCATTGTAGTTTTGATTTGCATTTCCCTGATGATTAAGTGACAATGAGCACCTTTTCATGTGTCTGTTGGCCATCTGTATATCTTCTTTGGAGAAATATCTGTTCATGTCTTCTGCCTTAATTTTTGAGTGTTGAGTTTTATAAGTTCTCTATATATTTTGGATACTAACCCTCATAGTATCTCACTTCTATGTTGGAAAATATAGCTATAGAGGGAAAAAACATCCTCACCAAAATATTAAGATAAGCCCACAGTATTTTTATGCTTTTCTAAGAGTAATTAAAATAATTATCTAGGACTAAGACAAAACCCATATTGTAGTGGCAATGCCAAGGGGCAGCTTAGGGTGATAGGGTAAGAAGGTTTTAGCTTTTCTCAATAGTATCTGTCATTTTACACCAACCAAATCTTTGCCAAATCTGATGTGGGCAATTAATATTTTCTCTTATCTAATGTAAAATATATGCAAATGAATCTTTAAACTCCTTTCCAATCAGAAAACTGCTCATAAAAGCCTCCTCGGAAAAAATTCTGGAGCCAGAACTATTACATTTTAATGATGAAAAAGGAAAGATCCTGATATATAAATAAGCTATCTCAATTACATTTGCCCACCTCAAAAATGAAACAGAACAGTAAAACTGATTGTCAAATTAAGTCCTCTGAAGCTACAGTGCCCTTTTTTTTTCTGGGTCCAGTGGAATCTCTTTATATGATTTTCAAGACTATTTATTAGATCACTGCAATTGATATAGCACTTAACACAAAGAGAAATTCTTGTAGTGATCTATTTTGTAAATGTTTTCTAGGCTCTTCTTTTGAAGGTTGCACTCCAGATTGCAAGTTCTGAATAGGATTATTTTGAAAGCAAATATTTATGTGCTTAAAAAGCCCAAAGACCTTATTGTTTTCTGTCCAAACACCAGGTAGAAAAATCAATATGGTCTTTTAGAAGGAAATGGTTTGGCTGCTTAAGCATCATCAGGATGCTTTCTAACAACACTAAAGCATTTAATTTTGGAAAAACAAAAATTAAGAAGAATTTTTAAGGAACAGTGAGGAAATGGGGAAACTAACAGGTGATGAGAGCTTCAAGAGTGTTGCCACTTTTGAATACATTGACTCAAATAATGGCATTAGTTACAGACATCTGCATTGTCTAAATAATTATTCATTGTTTTATAGAATGATTGTTAGGTTTTGCTGTTTGGCTGGGATAGAATATACTAAATACTGGGCCATTTTTTTTTTTTTCTGTGCCCAAGTCTAGTTGCTTACTCGTCTTAAACATGTTAAACACAGACTTGTCAAAAATAATCTAAGGCAGTCTTCTCACAGTTATTTAGTCATTTCAGGCAAATCATTTTTAATATTGATAGTAGTGAGCAAATCATGTCACCATGGTATTTTTATATAAAAATTAGTAACATGTTTAATTCTCAACTAGCTAGCATCATTTTATGATCATCAATGGAAATATTCCTTTTAACTTCATATATTCTCCTATTATATGAATTGAAATTAAGTAATTTTAATGTACACATGTGAGTATAAGCCATTTCCTTAGTTTAGCTTACTTATTTACTATCTTGCTTATCCAAGAATTTGAGGTGGCTCACATTAACTCATAAAATAATACAAGAAAAAAATAAAGAAAAAATCAGGTTTGTGGTAAACCTAGATAGAATAAAAGTTCAAGAAGAAGAGAGAAAGTTAGAACACCTAAGTGTTCATTGTGAGGATCATATTTATATAAATTTATCATGTAATCTACGATGGTGAATAAAAGACCCTAGGGAAATCTGAGGATTAGAATTTTTATTAAAGAGAAACAGCCACATTATCACACAGCTCAGTTAAGTTTTGATTATGAGATGATAAATTAATACCCAATTTACACTTATTTGATTAATTATTCCATCTAAGAAGTATAAGTACTTGGTGATAAATATTTGCATTTGAAAAGCCATAGCCAAAGGAAAAGCTGCTTTTTATATCTATTTCATGTACTAACTGTTGCTAGTAAGAAAATCAGTGTAGTAGCAGCTGCATATGCAATTGAATTTGATGGAATTAGAATAGAGGGGAAAAAAACTGATAACAAAGTAAACAGAGTGAAACCCGTACTAAATCGAAAATAGCACAAACTGATTTGTGTGTTTCTCTGAAAAATTCCAGGTGTTGTCAAAGTGGATTATGGAGATGTGTCAGTCAGAAAAACACTAAGAGAAAATCTGAAGTGTAAGCCCTTTTCTTGGTACCTTGAAAACATCTATCCGGACTCCCAGATCCCAAGACGTTATTACTCACTCGGTGAGGTATGCATTATTTATTTTGGTTAAGTTATAAATATATTTTGCAAATGGAGCCATTTCTAAGGAGCCCAATATTTTTTATGTTATGAATAAAATGCTTTCAGGTTTTTAAATAGATCTATTTTAAATAACTTCTCAAGTCACTTATGGTCTCAAGGACCATAAAGGTCTTTATCATTGGGATTTGCAAAAGTAAGGGGATAGTTTAAGACTAAATAGTATTTTCTTGTTTCTTTACCAACAGTTCAGAAACTTTTTGGTCATATGGACCTTACACCCTTAAAATTTACTGTGAACCCCAAGAGCTTTGGTGTAGGTGGGTTAAAACTATTAATATTTAATGTATTGAAACTAAACCTGAGAACTGTAAAACCCATTTATTAATTCATTAAAAATAATGTTATCTATTACATGTTAATATAAGTAATGCATTTTTAAAAATAAATATATTTTCCAAAGCAAAATCAAATAGCAAGATTAGCATCAATTATATTTTTGTAAATTGCATAACTGTCTGGCTAATAGAAGTTAACTGGAGTCTGTTTTGGTATTCAGTCTACTGTAACAGCACACGCCATGTAGCCTCTGAGAGACTCCTTGTACTTCATGAGAAGTGAAAGTGAAAACTGCAAGTAATAGCTTAGTGTTATTGTTAAAATCGTGTTGACTTTGTAGGCCCATTGAAAACCATTGATCTTCTACCATTGTTTTCCAAACTACCTATTTTTAAAATTTTTTTATTTAAATTCAGTTGATTAACATAAAATGTATTACTGGTTTCAGAGGTAGAGGTCAGTGATTCATCAGTCTTATTATATAATACCCAGTGCTCATTATATCATGTGCCCTCCTTAATATGTTTTCCAAAATATCTACTATCTGTAAAAATATATAGTTGGCTTCATTATGACTATATAAACATTTCATAATATATATTCAGTTGCTCAAAATAAGAGCCATTCCTTTATGAATTGTATGCCCCAAATTGGTAATTTCCCACTTAATAGGGATCAGTTTTGGGAATCAAAACTAATTTAATATTGGTTGTAATTAAAGCATTTTGACAGAAATGATACAATGCACTTGGAAAATATTTATTAATTAAGTTTGTCCTTAGGTTGAAACTGCCATTTTCTTAGGTCATAATAGTAGAATATCTGAAAATGTGTAGAGCACAACCTAACACTTTTTCGGTTCATTTGCCAAAAATAACAATCTATAACTTATCCGCTCTGTCGCTTTAATCCATAAATATAATTTATTTATGATTAACTAGAAAATAATTGAAGCAAAAATTACTGAGACCGAGTGGACCCCAGCAGAACTGTTTTTTAAAGGCTGTTTTTCTGTGTCCACATCCCTGCTCTAGTTGTCAAATTTCCTCTTCCTTATTAGCCATGTAATATCTCTTTATAGAATCTTTCAGTTTACATCTATTTAAACTTAATCTGAATAATGTAGTGCAAAGATTTGCGTGTAGTAACAGTGAATGTATGACTTTGTTTTGTTTTAAGATTTATTTATTTATTTTGGAGAGAAATAGCATGGGGGGAGGGGCAGAAGGAAAGGGAGAGAGAGAGAAAGAAGCAGACTCCCCACTGAGCCCAAAGCCCAGCATGGGGCTTGATCTCAAGACCCTGAGATCATGACCTGAGCCGAAATTGGACTTGGCTGCTTAATTGACTGAGCCACCCAGGCGCCCCTGTACAACTTTTCTAAGTTTGACTCTAGTTACTTAATAGTCCTGTGCCTCAGGGTTTTATTTTTTGTTTGTTTGTTTGTTTGCTTTTATTAAGGGGGAGGGTTATTGCCATTGTTTTCAAATAATGTAACATTTCTATTTAAGCACTAATGTTACAGGGATTTATATTCGATACATACATTATATGAGCCCTTTTTAAACTAGAACACTGTTTACATGCTAGTTATTATGATCTAGTGCTTCTGAGATCCCCAATATCTAATACTTTCATTTCTTTACTGAAAAGTGTTTGAACAATTGTGAACCTGACTTGTACCCTAAGAAGAAGGGCATGTTTCTATTCTTGTCATAGAATGTTGCTCCCGCTGCAGTCAGGGGACCCAGCTGATGAGTGAACATTGATTACTTTTTCTAAAAGGAGGTATAACCAGGGCCTATAATGAAACAGATATGAGTAAGTTGGACTTTTTAGAAATTTTCTGGGGCCTCCAGAGTGACTCCTGAGAAGAACTCTGAAACAGAACCTCGATGTTTATTTCCATGTTAAAAATCCAATTTTATGGTTTCCTGTACTACATCAAAGAAACATAATTAACTGACTTCCTGAAAAAGTAAAAATATAGTGTGGGCAAATTCCTTTGTACAACTTACTGATTTTGAATTAGCTGCCTTCTGTGATAGATCAGGTAGCCATATTTTAATGTATAGAAATAGTTTGAAAGAAAGAGACTGTACCTTTCTGGGTTTTTGAAACACATCCAAGAAGAGACAGCTTGTTAATATTAAAAAAAATACCAGGCCTTGGAGGCAAGCAGAAGAAGGTTTAAATCCTGACCTCATAGCCTAGGACTTGAGTGGCTCTAGGTCTCCTCTCTTGTCCCTGTCGGCAGTGTGAAGATAATCATAAAGGGATATAGTGATGATTGAAGATCTAGAGCATTTAGCACAATGCCTGGCAAGAAGGAGTAGCAGCACCCGTAGAAATAGTTATTATAATTATTATAGCTACCATTTACTGATTTCTTATTAAGTGAAACATTATGCTAGATGCCTTATAACAATTATATTATTTAAAAATCTCAACTCCACGACTTGGGTTTTGTTATGATCCCAATTTAAAATGGAAACTGACATGTAGAAAATTTATGTGATTCACCTATGGGTCATTGAGCTCACTATTAAACTCAGGATTCAAATAGATGTAAGTCTGACACTAATGCTCACTCTTTCTTTAAGCTAGAAAGACAAAATAGGTTGTATTATTATAGTTTATTCAAAATGCTTTTGTCACATAAGAGGTGAAGCTGGAACCTATATGTTACATGCTAAGGATGCAAAGTCAAATAAGCAAAGCCCTTTCCTCTTAAGCCATTCTACTGAAATGGGGGCAGGAGAGATGGCAAAAAAGAAACAAAGGGTTAAGAAATTCAGAGAATTAGGGGCGTCTGGGTGGCTCAGTCAGTTAAGCGTCCAACTCTTGATTTTGGCCCAGGTCATGATCTTGGGGTTGTGGGATCAAGCCTGGGTTGGGCTCCGCACTCAGCGGGGAGACTGCTTGAGATTCTCTCTCCCTCTTTCTCCACTCCTCCCCGCACCAGCCCCTGCCCCCGTGCTCTCTCTCAAATAAATAAATAAATACTAAAAAAAAAAAAAAAGAAATTCAGAGAAATAAAAGATGCCCTACATGAAGTATATAATCATGCTATAAACTGCTGCTTCAGAACCCCTAATAAATTAAAAAAAAAATCTGGGAGATGTGTTAAGTTTTAAACTTTGTGGGATATTATTGTGCTGTAGTTTTCCACTTTAAAACCAGCCCTAAAGAGATGCAATCCAGCATCTGTTTCCATGGAAACAGAAGGACAAGTTTACCAAGCACTACTTCCCGATTTGATTTTGCATAGTCATGTATACATAATTTAAGATGGACATTTTTATAATGAGTTTGGGATGAACTGTTAATGGACAACAGACTTTTACTTAAAGCTTTTTCTTTCTTACTGCCTGCCATTAACCATTTTTAGAAGAAAGTAAAAAGCTATCTTTCCTTATATATGAGGGTATTTTTTTTTTCAGATACTTAGAGCCTCAAAGTGGTATTAGGTATCCAACCTACTTATCAAGACAACAAATTATTTCTTTGTGATATGTATATTTTTCATATGTACTCATCACTTAATTTAAAATGAAATTGGTAGGATTTAACAATTTACAATTTCCTTAAGTTTCAATGTTGTTCAAAGCCTATTATTTAATATTCCAGTGTATTGGTGAATATAAATTTTTCTCTGTCAATTTCTCTTTATAACTTTCTTAGCTGTATTGGAAGATGCAAATATGATATTCAGTTTCTCATTATCCTATATCATCACCAGAATAATCATTAGGAAATTTATTGATATCAGTATCTTAATTTGTTATGTTTGAATTTTATTCAGGTAATTGAAATATTCTTTAACCAGCCCATGACTTAAATGCAATTTCCAATGGGAAGTCAAAAGCTGTGCAATTGCTTTGAACTAAAACCTTTAAGTAGCTTAATGAAGCATGTGCCTTTTAGGTTCAGTAAGCATATCATAATAGAATAAGGAAGTCAAGTTCTTTGCAGCTTTAAATTCTTTCTTAACTAGACCTTTAGCTTATATAGATTTAACATGTCAGGTTTTGATCTTGTAAATATAAAGGCAAATTCAAGTATGATAGGATTGAAAAATGGGATTCTAAAGTCATAATGCTTCAAATTTGGGGGCCTATGACAAGCCAGCGTTTTGAGAAAAAAAAATGTATTGTGAGCTACGTAGGGCAACAGGGAGAAGTGGATTTGTGTAACCAAGTGACTTAACTCTTGGGGCTTACAATTTACATTTGCTTACAATTTACATCTGGCTTCGAAGATGTTTAAACATTAGTCTGTGCATTTCGGATTGCCTACTCAACCTCAGAACTCCTTTTTCTTTTTGTATCCTTTAAACATAATAGCTAGTTAAGGTTCTGGTACATATTAGTACTATATCCCATAAATGTTGTTAAAAAAGCAAATTTATGTAACTAAAAATAGGCGCTTGAAGCTGCTTGGCCGCAGGGATTAAGGGTACAATCTGTGACTGCCAAATGCAGATGCTAAAACGCTTAGAGATTTACCCTTGCTTGGTAATCAGGAGATCTATTTATAGATTCACAGTCTTCCTGACCTTTCACTAGGATAACCAGTGAGGAAGCCTCGTTTTAGATGACTTACACTAATGGGAGCATTCTCTTTGCCCACAATTATATTTCACAAACTCTTTGTGACCCAGTAGCT